TTCCTTGTATATCCATGGCTGATTCATGTCAATGTATGACAAAGACTACTACAGTATTGTAAAGTAGTTAGCCTCCAACTAATTAAAAAAAAAAAAAAGCCAAGGCTCTTTTCGGTGGTGGGTCTAAGGAGCGAGATCCCAAAGGCATCCTCCTAATCACACGGAGCAGAGCTCAGACAAACCGGTGGGGAACTACAGTCTCAGGTTGCAGCACCTCCGGGTAGAGCCTTTTCTGGGGTTCCCAACTACAGCTGCTACCAGGCCGCTCGCCAGGCCCCTCTGCGTCAGGCTCCTCCTCACCTTGCCTACCTTGCGTCATCCTGTGCGGAGCTTGCGTCACCCTTTGCTATCCCTGGCGTTAACCTCTCCTCTCAGTTTCCAGCTTTGATTTCTTTCTCATCACACTTTCTCGTCTTCACCCTATTTCCCTCATCGCCTTGTCTCCTCGGTTTCCCCTTCATCGCCTTCTCCTCTCATTTTCCTGACACCACCCTCTCCTCTCAGTTTCATCCTCTACACCTTCTCCCCTCAGTTTCCCCCTCCCTGCTTTCTCCCCTCACAGTTTTGCCTCACAGCCTTCTCTCCTCATAATTTCTCCTCTAACGTCCCTTCATTTCAGTTTTCCCGTCACTGCCTTCTCCCCTCTGTTTTCCTCTCACCATCTTTTGCCCTCAAAATTTCCTTTCACCACTTTCTGTCCTCAGTTTCTCCATCACAGCCTTCTCCATATCAGTTTTGTAACACTGCAGGACACTACGGAGCAGGCAATGGCAACCCACTCCAGTACTCTTGCCTGGGAAATCCCATGGACAGAGGAGCCTGGTGGGCTGCCGTCTATGGGGTCGCACAGAGTTGGACACGACTGACGCAACTTAGCAGCAGAAGCAGCAGCAGCAGCAGCAGAACACTATGGGGACTTCCTGGACAGACACCTCTGACCCTGTCCTGTGCTTTAGTTCCTCTCTGAAGTATCTTGTTAATAATATCTGATAGACATTCCTGAGTTATTTTACAGATAGAGAAACCCTACCAAATCAAAGAAATTAATTACTTGACAACCCTGAGCCCAGTAGCCCTCAGACCTACTGGCGCATAAGGATTGATAATATGACACTGCCTCCTTAAAGCACCATCTACTAGTCAGAGAATCGGGCAGCAGCTGATCCCACACTCTGGGAAGCCCATCCCTCAGCTTGCTTTTAAAAATGATTTGCTGGGTTTTTCTGGGAAGTCAGTGGTAAAGAATCCCCCTGCCAATGCAGGAGACACAAGTTCCATCCCTGGACTGGGAAGATCCCACATGCCACAGAGTTACTACGTCCATGCTCCACAACTATTGAGCCTGTGCTCTAGAGCCCGGGAGCTGCAACTACTGAGCCCATATGCCACAGCTACTGAAGCCCTCACACCTCACAGCCTATAGCCTGTGCTCCACAACAAGAGACACCACTGCAGTGAAAAGCCCTCGCACCACAACGAAGAGTAGCCCCAGCTCACTGCAACTAGAGAAAAGCCTGCAGGGCAACAAAGACCCAGCACAGACAAAAATAATTAAACTTTAAAATAAATCAAAAAAATAAAAATGCATTGCTGAACCATCTGAGAATACAGCTTTTAGAGTACAAGCAGTCTGGAATTCCCTGTACCTCATCCTACAATAAACATTGCACTTTCCTTCACTACAACCCAGGGTCAGTAGATTGACTTTACTGCATTGGCAAGTGAACCCAAGTTTGGTTCGGTAATAATTTTCTCCTCACTGCCTTTTCTGCTTGTACTGTATACTCATCACATTCTCAATTTCCCCTTCATAATCTCACCCCCTACCTTCCCCCTCCCTGCCTTCTCCTCTCAAAATTTTCCCCTCACTCCCTTTTCCTCTCACAGTTTCTCCCTCACTTCCTTTTCCCTTCACAATTTCTTTTTCACCTCCTCTCCCCTCAGTTTCTCCCTCACTGCTTTCACCCACAATAGTCTCCCCCTCACCCAATTCTCCCTTCAGTTTCACTCTCACCATCTTCTATTTTCAGTTTCCCCACATTCCTTTCTCCCCTCACTGTCCTCCTCACCAGCTTCTCCAATGCATTTTCCCTCTCAGTACTTTTTTTTCAGTTTCTCCCTCAAAGTCTCTCCCCTCTTTGTCCCCTTCAACTCATATTTCCCTCTCTCCACTTTTTCTCTTGACGTTTTCCCCTGGACTTTCTCCTCTCACAGTTTCCCCCTAACTACCTTCTCCCCTCCCAGTTGGTTTCCTTTCACTACCTTCTCTCCTCACACTTTCCCCTCAGGCCCTTTATTCCTCACTGTTTGCCCTTACTAACTTATACCCTCTGTGTCCTCCCCACATATTCCCTCTCATCACCTCTCCCCTCACTGTTTCCCTCTAACCACCTTCTATTATCATAGTTTTTCCTCAACCTTCTCTCTTCAGTTTCCCCCCTCTGCCTTCTCCTGTCACAGTTCCACCTTCATAGCCTTGTCCCCTCACAAATGTCCCCCTCACTGCTTACCCTTCTAACCCTTCCCCTCACCAGCTTCTCGTCTCAGTTTTTCCCTTCACTGGGTTTTTCTATCACAATTTCCCCTTCACTACTTCTCCCCTCACAGTTTGCCCTCACCTTCTCTCTTCCTTTCCCCCTCATTGACTTTTCCTTTCACAACCCCTTCCGCACAACACTCTCTCCTCACCTTTGCCCCTCACTGCCTTCTCTCCTCAGTTTCCCCATAACTGCTTTCCTTTGTCATAGTATCTCTAAAAATAGAACTACCATATGACCCAGTAATCCCACTCAATGAAGTCCAATGAAATATTACTCAGCCATAGAAAAGAATGAAATAATGCCATTTGTAGCAATAAGGATGGACCTAAAGATTATTACACTAAGTGAAGTAAGTCAGACAGAGAAACACAAATATCATATGACTTCACTCATACGTGGAATCTAATTTTTTTTAAAGATACAAATGATCTTTGTTTACAAAACAGAAACAGACTTACAGATATTAAAAATGAACTTATGGTTAGCAAAGTGGGGAGGGAGGAGTGTAAGTCAGGAGCTAGAAATGAACATACACACACTACTGTATATAAGATAAATAACAAATAAGGACATCTTTTTGGGGTGTTAGTTCTAGAAGGTCTTGTAGGTCTTCACAGAACCATTCAACTTCAGCTTCTTCAGCATTACTGGTCAGGGCATAGACTTGGATTACTGTGATATTGAATGGTTTACCTTGGAAATGAAGAGAGATCATTCTGTCATTTTTGAGATTGCATCCAAGTACTGCATTTCAGACTCTTTTGTTATCTATGATGGCTATTCCATTTCTTCTAAGGGATTCTTGCCCACAGTAGTAGATATAATGGTCATCTGAGTTAAATTCACTCATACCAGTCCATTTTAGTTCGCTGATTCCTAAAATGTCGACGTTCACTCTTGCCATCTTCTGTTTGACCACTTCCAGTTTGCCTTGATTCATGGACTTAACATTCCAGGTTCCTACGCAATATTGCTCTTTACAGAATCGGACTTTACTTCCATCACCAGTCACATCCACAACTGGGTATTGTTTCTGAAGTCATTCCCATCAATTTTCTCTATCACAGCATTCAGTCATCATGGTAGTCTCTGACTGTTCTCACTCAAAGTTTTTACTCTGCCTCCTCTCTTCAAACTTTCTCCTCAGACCCTTTCATTCTTCAAAGATTCTTCCTCACTGATTTCTCTACTCCCAGTTTCTCCTCATAATTTTTTCTTGCAAGTTTCCCTCAAGAGGCTTTTCCTCATAATTTCACCTCACCACATTTTCCCTTCATGTTTTCTTTTTCACTTCATTTTCTTCTCACATTTCCCCCTCAATGTCTCCTCCCCTCACAAGTTGCTTGTCACTGACTTACATTTTCCCCTCAGCACTTTTTACCTCAAAATTTTCCCCCACTGTCTTTTTTCCCTCAGTTTCTTTTCACCATCTCCTTTACTCATATTATTCGCCTCATGTCCTGCTTTTCTCACAATTTTCTTCATCGCCAACATTCCTCATAGTTCCTCTTACAACTTTGCTGACCTTCTATCAGAGTATACAAGGAGGGAAAATGATAATTTATATTCATCCAACAAATATTTATTAATTAGACATATATAACAGGACCTATAACCCCAGACTTTGGGGATACATGTCCCTGATGAGACTTACACTCTGGAGGAAACTTGGGCATCAATCAAGTAGTCAGGACTAACTGTAAATTGAAATAACTGCTCCAAAATTTTTAAAAAAAAGGGATTCTGTGAGACCAAATAATGAATGTATTCCATTTAGACTGGAGAGACAGCCTGAGCACCAACTGAATGAAAAGCAAAGAACTACAGAAAGAACTCAAGGGAGAGGGTAAGATAAAAAATAAATTTGTTTAATTTATGGTTACCAAAGGGGAAACTTGCCGGCGGGCGGGGCAGCAGGAATAAATCAGGAGCTTGGGATTAGCATACATCCTCTACAAAATACACATCACTCACCTTGAGATCCAGAGCATCAAAAATGGTTATAATTTCAAAATTGTCCACACTGTAGTGTAAATTTTACAGCACACAGACATCATGAGTTTAGATGTCTTTGCCAATATTTCATTCAATAATATTAACCAATAAGAATGTGTAGAAATTGAACATCTAATAGGAAATCACAGTAGCATTTTTAATACAATCAAGATAATAAGCATTGTTCATGTTTTAAATTGTGAAACATTTTAATTGTCCGATTCATTAGGAAAAAATGTCACACACTTTAATCACCCCAGTGAGAACAAAGCTTCAGACAGTTGATACTGAGACACTTTGGGCTTTTTTCTTTCTTTTTTAAAAAAAATTTCATTTAGTTAGGCCATTCCCTATCTTCTTGGATTACCAGCTTATAAACAGTACAGCAACAAGGCAGAATCCTATATGCATTAAAACCCATTTCCCCTTTATCATCTTTGGTGAGAAGACTCATGAAAGGACACTGAGAGCTGATAAAAGCATATCAGGCTACATGTGTTTCTACCTCACACATCACCGACTGGAAGGCTTGCATTATCCAAGTCCACAGGGTCATAATTTTGTTTCTGAGGATCATTTTTCTTTAAGGTTTTAGCAGAGCTTGTTCAGTTACCTTGGAAGCTGATTCTCTTGGAGAGATAGTGTAGACCTTGAAGTTCCATGGCTTGAACTTGGCAAGAGATTCATAAAATCCTAGCTTCTCCATGGTAAAACTTGAGATCAGAGTAGAGTTGCTGCAAGAGGCTGTGGAATGTGGGGTGGCTGCTGCACACTGGCAGAGCAGAGAGCGTGTTTAGATTTGGAAAGACTGTTGGAATGTTCCTGCAAAGAGGAGTGGTGGTCAGACACAGGCAATCATTAGCAATAAGATTAGTAACTCAGTGTGAGACATTACTCTAGGGGACGCTGATCTGCCAGGTCCCCGCTGTACTACAATGGCACCTGAGGCTGCTTTAATCCCACTGTGCATTTCTTCAGGGCTATCAGCCTGCACATAGAGAGTTCCAGAGGATGTTACAATTTCAAAGAGGTAGTCTCTTGTCATTATGTCACTTGGTTTATGTTCCTGGGCTTTATGAACCTCTTTAAGTGGTATTACATGGAGAGGTCCCTTTTCCAGTTCAGATCTAAAGTAACCTGTTGTGTTTCTATCCAGTTGAAAATGTCTTCTCTTCCATTTTTCATCACTGTTCCTTGTTTTACACAATATCCAGCTTTCATAACTGCAGTATCTGAAGGTGGTTTAGGAGTAAAGTAAGGAAGACAGATTTGTGACCGCTTCAAATTATTTCTGTCAATAGTTTCACCACATTCACTTGCTTCTTTTTGAGTTGCAGTAATGATGGCCACTCTACCAACAGTGTCAGTTCTGTAAGACATTTGCTTCTTCCCATATTTACCTTGGTGACCTGTTATCAGAATGAGGCTGTGATACTGACTGCTTTGATATTGTAACTTTTACAGCTTTGTTCAACACATTTATCCATTCTACTAGGCCCTGCTGATCATTGGCTTATAGAAAATAGTCCCTCATCCCTGCATTCATAACTTTGAAATGTAGGTAAATTAGAGAACTTCCCTGTTGCTCAGACAGTAAAGAATCCTCCTGTAATGGGGGAGAACCAGGTTCGATTCCTGGGGCAGGAAGATCCCCTGTAGAAGGGAATGGCTACCCACCCACTCCAGTATTCTTGCCTGGAGAATGCCATGGACTGAGAAACCTGGCAGGGTACAATCCATCTGATCACAAAGAGCCAGACACACTTAACACTTTCACTTTTTTTTTAATGGCTCCACAATTCTCAATCCAGAAGGTAGGTTCTGTGGATTATCCATGTATCATACAAAACTATCTCCTCTAGTATCCAGTATGAAGTACCTCCAAAGAAATTTCCCACTCTATTCATTTTCTTTAATGTCTGGAAAACCACAAATGAGATTCTGATGATCCACGTAAGTCATTTTTAAACTTGACCAGCACTCGTTGTTCCCTCGAGCCTCACAGCTCACTTCATCTGGTGCCGTGCTTGCAGAACCCGCCCCACCAACCCTGCCCAGGCCCCGGGGTCCCACAGGCACTGAGTTGCCTGAAGCTGGCTGTTTTTCCATTAACCATTACCATTGGACTTGGAAGCTCAGAGGGGCAATACAATGATAAGGGGCATACAATGACCATGGCTCCAGCTCTTGGTCAAAGCTTTTTGCAATTCACCCTGCCTCTGAAAATTCTCTTCTTCATTTACATCTTAATTCAAACGCAGTTCTCTTATTTCCAGCTGCTGTTAACAGAAATGAAAAACCTAGATCCTTCTCCTTAACTCCTTAAATGAACACAACACAGGTTTTTTACAGGTAACAAAAATTTACTGAGATCTGGGGAAAATGGGTGTGTTTTATCCATCCCAGAATAGGAAATACAAAAAGTAAAATGTTAGACTCCTTAAAACTCCATCAGCCACCCATTTCCCTGGAAATTTTTGGCTGGCCAACTTTTCTGATTTGATAGTGTCCATCCTCCAAAATAGAACTGGGGACCAACCGTCACTCTCTGGGTTCTATTTAAAAAACTCAAATTGGATAAAGTAACACCACCAGGCTTCCCTGGTGGCTCAGCCTTAAAGAATCCACCAGCCAATGGAGAAAATCTGAGTTCAATCCTTGGGTCGGGGAGATCTCTTGACGAAGGAAACTGCAATCCATTCCAGTATTTTTTGCCTGGGAAGTCTGGTGAACAGAGGAGCCTGGTGGGCTTCAGTCCATAGGGTCACAAAAGAGTTAGACACAACTTAGAGACTAAACAACAACAAAAACACGACATTAGTCTGCAGAGTAATTCAACCTCTCATCATTTAGCATATCCAAACAGTATAAAAACTTCATGAAATATTTTCCGTTACTAAAAGAAAAACAACGTCCCATAGTAAACTTCAGGCCACCCCCAAACCAGCTCAGAGAGTCAACTTTTGTAATCTATTACCTGAGCACATGGCATGAACTGAAAATTCTCATAACCACAAGCCCAAGAGCTTGTCTCCAGAGCAGGAGTGCGAGACTCCCAACCAACCCGGCTGCACCTCAGAGGCCTCTGTCACAAGGGGTCTGAAGCTCCAGGAAGAGCCACAGTGAGGGTCCAGCACAGTGACAGGCCCTAGGGGGACACAGCCTCGGGGTTGCAGGGGAGCAGGGGACACTCGGCCCCGGAGAGACCTTCAGCACCAGAGCCTGAGCTGAACCCTGCCCCTGGGAGGTTCACAGGCTCCTCCAGAGAAGGATTGCTAAGGGCAGCAGGGAGCCCCTCAGACCCTCCCACCTTGGAGCAGACGGTCAGGGACACGTCTCCTGAATTAATCATGAAGTATGGAAAGAGGGTCCCAGAGAAGGAAGCCTGAGGGAAGGAGAAAATGTGGGAGCCATCAGTCATGTTGTAGAAGGAGACATCCCCTTCCTGGTAATCCAGAAACACTCCCATCCTAAGCCTGGGGTGGGGAGCCTGCATGAAGGATAGCAGAGTCTGCTTTGCAGTACAGGCACAATATCCTTTTTCAAACCTCCCCACAACCCAGAACCCCTTTTCTGGGGTCTCNCTTCCCTACAGACCCCCAGGGCCCACTCGCTTTGGCCTTCATCCCTGATTTCCACCTCCCAGTAACAGCGCCCTGATGTGATGCCCTCAAAACCCAGTACACTGCAGGTATCTACAGAGTTAGAAGAGACCTTCAAGGTCACACTTGTCTTTTCACGAGAGACAACAAGGTCTGAATGAGCAGATCCTGGATCCAGAGTGACAGGCCCTGCAGAGGAAATTATCTATCATTCAAGGTCCTCCCCTCCCCAAGAACACACAACCACCCATCAACCCGGAATCCCAGCTGCATGGGAGGAAGGCTAAGCACCCTGAAAATAGGAACTTGTGATTCAAGTCAATGGGCCTCCAAGCAGGAAAAGGACCCACAAGACTGATTTCAGGGTGCGATATGTCACAGAGCCCTTGAGGACCAGCCTGCTCTCCAAGGGCTGAAAGAGAGAGTTATAGGGGGAAATGTTTTGGAAATATTCAACTGATGCATGTATTTCTTTTCACAAACACATAGAGAACCATCATGTTGCAACCTTACCAGGAAGCCGAAGACATAAATCTTAATACTAAGGGGTTAAGAGGCTTGATATCAATCTGAACGTAAAGGTCATTGCCCAAACTTCACTATACAATAACATTTTCTCAAGTCCTTAGCCACACATTCTTAAAACTAGGTTTTCTTGAGAAAGAATTGGGGAGATCAAAATTTCCAAGGTTCTTAAGCAATTATGAAGAGCTAATTGAACTGAGCATGCAGGTTACCTCTAAGCCAGGAGTAGAGAAAATACAACTTAGCTGAACGGAACTCAGAGAATGACTATAAGTCATTAGTGAAGAAAATCTGGGATACAGTATCAGAGAAATCTTGCTTAGTTAGGAGGCAATGTAGAGATTTCAAGGAAAGGAGAGAGATGTTTGAAGTGAGACAGACAGACATACAGTGAGAGGAAAGACACTCATGAATTCTCTCCTGCTTTTCGCAGTGTTAGTGGAACAAAAAACATTTCTACCTGTGAAGGAAAACCAAAAATATTGGATCTAGTCATATGCTTCCCCCTATAATTGCCCAGAGAGGTTGTAAGATTCCAGGAGAACCACAACAAGAGGACCCGAAAGATGTCCATGTTCTAAACCTCAGACTGTGTGAATACATTGTGGTAAAGGGAACTTTACAGATGTGATTAAGAACCTTACAATGTGACCAAGGGTCAGGGGGAAATAACCCAAATACCTAGCCAAGACCTGCTGATCCTCAGCCAGCCTCAAACCAAGAATCTTAAGGACCAGATCAGACTAGTGTCCCCAGGGCAATGGCCTGATATGACTAAAAAAGAACATAAGGATCCCTTTCCCAACTAACCCAAGGCCAAATAATTTCTTCCAACCTCCATACTCGCTTTTGGGGAAAAGAAAGGAAGCTCAACAACCAAAGCAAAGCAAACCCTATATGTCCTAAGACACTGAAATGTCTGCACTCAGAGAGCTGTTGCCTCCAACAGGGTGGAGAATCAGGAACAAGATTAGAACTTTTATGGAAATTAGTAAATGGCTCTTTTTTTTGCAGTTTTGGTGTGTATATTTATTACACCATTCCTACTTAATACAGATTCATGCTGAAATTGACATTCCTTTTATTTGCCTGATGGAAATAAGATCACATAAAGTGGCCTAACCCACGTGACCCTTTGAGAAAAAATGGACTTTAATTTATTTGTTCTTCACCAAGACACTAGTTGATCCCTAGCTATAAATATCTATAACACAAGTGATAAAGATTAACAACAAGAAAAAGAGGGGGGAGAAAAAAAGAGAGTTGGCATTTAATTGTGAGACTCCACATGTATCAAGTGTGATGCTATTCTTCACTTAATTGCTACAGCAAATCATTAATACAATTTTTTCCAATCTTATGAATAAAAAAAGATCTGACATTTGACCACCTCCCACTTGACACTTGTCAATATGAAAATGTTGATTCTAGCTTAATGGGGTTTATCCTTACAAAACAGAAGGTTACACAAGGTATACATTAAAACACACACTTTTTAATCTAGTAGGTAAGGGAGAAATAGTAAAAGAGGACAATCTGATCCTGATGTTTAACATAAATCCCAAGGTGAATCAGTAAGAATCCCTAAGGTGGAATCCTAAATCCTCACGCCTCTGGCTCCCAGGCATTTT